TAGGAGGTGGTGGGGGAGGTATAATATGTGGTGGGGGATATATAATATAAATGTATCACAACATGAGGTGGGGGGGGATATATAATATACATGTATTACAGTATGAGGTAGTGGGGGAGATAAAATATACATGTATCACAGTATAAGGGAATGGGGGGGATTTAATATACATGTATCACAGTATGAGGGAAGATATTATATACACGTATCACACTATGAGGTAGTGGGGGAGGTATAATTTACAAGTATCACAACATGAAGTAGTGATGGAGATATAATATACATGTATTGGTGGGGGATATATAATATACCTGTATCACAGTATGAAGTAGTGGGGGAGATATAATATTCATGTATCACAACATGAGGTGGGGGGGGATATATAATATACATGTGTCACAGCATGAAGTAGTCGGGGAGGTATATTATACATGTATCACACTATGAGGTAGTTGGGGATATATATTATACATGTACCACAACATGAGGTGGTGGGGGAGGTATCATATACATGTATCACAACATGATGTGGTGGGGGATATATAATATGCATGTATCACAACATGAAGTAGTGATGGAGATATAATATACATGTATAACACTATGAGATACATGTATCACAACATGAGGAGGTGGGGGAGATGTAATATACATGTATCACACTACGAGGTAGTGGGGGAGATATAATATACATGTATCACAGTATGAGTTAATGGGGGAGATAAAGTATACATGTATCACAATATGAAGTAGTGGAGGAGATATAATATACATGTATCACAACATGAGGTGGTGGGGGATATATAATATACATGTATCACAGTATGAAGTAGTGGGGGAGATAAAATATACATCTATCACAGTATAAGGTAGTGGGGGAGATACACTATACATGTATCACAGTATGAGGTAGTGGGGGAGATAAAATATACATGTATCACAGTATGAGGTAGTGGGGGAGATATAATATACATATATTACAGTATGAGGTAGTTGGGGAGATATAATATACATGTATCACAGTATGAATTAGTGGGGGAGATAAAATATACATCTATCACAGTATGAGGCAATGGGGGAGATATAATATACATGTATCACAGTATGAATTAGTGGGGGAGATAAAATATACATCTATCACAGTATAAGGTAGTGGGGGAGATATACTATACATGTATCACAGTATGAAGTAGTGGGGGAGATAAAATATACATCTATCACAGTATGAGGCAATGGGGGAGATATAATATACATGTATCACAGTATGAGGTAATGGGGGAGATATACTATACATGTATCACAATATGAAGTAGGGGGGGAGATATACTATACATGTATCACAATATGAGGTGGTGGGGGAGATAATATACATGTATCACACTATGAGGTAGTGGGGGAGATATAATATACATGTGTTACAGTATGAGGTAGTGGGGGAGATATAATATACATGTATGACAGTATGAGGTAGTGGGGGAGATATAATATACATGTGTTACAGTATGAGGTAGTGGGGGAGATATAATATACATCTATCACAGTATGAGGTAATGGGGGAGATATACTATACATGTATCACAATATGAAGTAGTGGGGGAGATATACTATACATGTATCACAATATGAGGTGGTGGGGGAGATATAATATACATGTATCACAGTATAAGGTAGTTGGGGAGATATAATATACATGTATCACAATATTAGGTAGTTGGGCAGTATGTACATCAGTGATAAATAAAAGGGCTTTTGTTTAACTGTTAGATGGGTAGTGCATCGTTTTTATTGCTTTATTGAAAGTATGGAAGGAAACTCTTGATACATAACTATAGTATTATAGTGTTGGCTGAAGTCTTCGATCCCCAGAAAAGCACATATATTGCACAAGACGTATTGGTCAGACACTTCCTTAAATTAACCCCGTATATTTGGTCGTAACATTGAAAAATCACGGCACAAAATGTAGATATCAAAGCAGAAATAGATTATAAATCGAATAAAAGTCCGCCGCCTTTTTTACGCGTTCTCATCTGGCGTCGAGAACTAACTCGTCTAATTAAGAAAACGGCACCGATATATTACGAAGTCTAACACCTTCATCTCGTCCTAATCAAACGGTCACACCCGAGGCTTTCCCAGGAGGGGCAGGTGTCACATCATAGGACTTGTGTCTTCGTATTCCCGTGAGTATGTCTGTCCACTAATGAAAGGGATCAGATATGTGCAAATGTCATGGCCGGATTTTGTTCAGCTGTGACTTGTTCCCTTTAGCGGATCTACGATAATGCACTGACACAAACAATATTTACACACGACACATCTTAATTCGTGTACATTAATGATACGTGAAACCAAATGTACAGAAAGTAAGACACTTTTTAACGAAAGTCAAAAGAGGAGTAGAACAGTAACGGATACTCATAGAAATATTCACGTCTCAATGACACAATGTGTTGAGTGCATTAAGAACAACAGTTTTATTGCCGCAAGATCGCAGCTTGACCGATGTTTTTGTTTCTCTAAAAGCAGTCATATGACAATAATACATATACGTTGATGATTTTCATTTTTTCAAATTTTCCTCACATAGTTCGCAACATCAGTGTCATATAAACTTTTCAACTCTAAATCACACTACTACTAATAAATCAATTAAAAAGGGAGGAGGAAGTCGAAGGGTCGACAAAATCATAATTCGATCTCAAAATCGATAAAACTAGGGCAACACATAAACAAAGGAAACATCATCATGTAAACATATTGAAAAAGTACGAGGAGAATGAGAACAGGTAATCCGCGAGGGTTTCCTGCTTCATCTACGTCACTCGTCATGTAAATGAAGGCCAAACCCAAGTAATGCTATTTCATTATAACGTAAACAGGGGTAGCGACAACAAAACAACCAAGCATGGCAATGAGCATAATCAAAACCAGCGACCGTCATATCACACAGAGAAATAGCAGATTGCCCAGCTAGGTCATGATGGCGACAAAACAAACTTGACCATACAGTGTAGTCGTCAACAACCGGAATCCTTTGGAAAACCTATGTTGTAAATTTTTCCGTCAGCAGTCAACATTTATCACAGAAGTCATGATATTCGGAGCACTCTCGAATATGGAATCACAACTGCGACATGCAAAACACAGCAAGTAATGAAATCCTGGATGTTACTATCAAGAAAGGGAAAAGCCAGAATAGGAAAGTCGAAATCGTCCCACTTATCGTACAGCTTAGTAGTAAGCGGCCATGTTGGTAGGATTGGAAGTATAGATCGAGGGACACAGCTGTAGTAAAAGCGTCCGTAGTTTCCTACAATCGATGTGGTCAATAAACGTCTTGCTATTTAAAGACAGCACATCGTCGGTTATCTAATTGTGAAATTGAAGGACTTGGCTAGGTTTTTGTTTCCAGTTCTAAGACGCTCGTCAATAAATTCAGCTTCATATAAAAATCAAAAACAAATCGGCTAGGGGAGAGTGTACTTTGTTCCAATTGGAATGCCTATACAGTCTGCTGAACATCTTACCACTGAACTCACCAAGGAATATTGTCAACCAGAAACTCAATCATTTCACTTTGGCATTTGTTGTGCTTTTAAAGAAATATGCTCCAGAATAACAAACGACCATGAAGTTACGTCGCCAGTCATTAATGTGCCTGGTAATCTCGTTCTCACTACACCAGTTGTCATCTTGAGAAAGTGACGTTACTGTGACTACGATTTACCTGGCTAGTACCCTTCCGTAAAGATAACTTGGTCTCGTTCACCTGTAAGGATCGCCGTGTAAATCTTTCCCATATCCATATTTAGATGAATACATCGATTTTGAGTTCGATTTACGGTTTCACACTTCCGTAGTCTCCTGTTTTTCCATACAAGCGCATACATAGTAGCAGCCTTGTTTAAGTCTGAACTTAGCTGTAGAGGCAAAAACCCACCTATTTCATGTTATAACAAGGTAGGTAAAGGAGAGAGGAAAGTGTTTTTGTGGAATTCGCGAGAAAGCGTTTTTAATACACCGTATTCAGCTACGACGCATTACCACGGTTTTGATTTTTTTTTTCCAGTTTTGTGACGGGAGTGCTTCGTGCATATTCAACAAGGGTACCTATTGTAACGGGAGGGCTACATGTATATACTCCTTGAGTACCTATTGTAACGGGAGGGCTACATGTATATACTCCTTGGGTACCTGTTGTAACAGGAGGGCTACATGTATATACTCCTTGGGTACCTATTGTAACGGGAGGGCTACATGTATATACTCCTTGGTTACCTATTGTAACGGGAGGGCTACATGTATATACTCCTTGGGTACCTATTGTAACAGGAGGGCTACATGTATATACTCCTTTGGTACCTATTGAACGGGTGTGATTTCATTCTTTGGGTGCCTAATGTAACAGATGTGCTATTTGTGCCTTATGTTTACATTCTTTATGCTTGAAACCATGGTGTAGTTTGATTCCTATCCGCTGTGAAGCCGCACTTTTAGCATTTTTACATATGTATAATGCTAAATTAAATGAACATTAAACATTATTGCATTCCTGTTTAAGATGAAATAGTTCTTTAAACACTTCATAACAGCATATTACGTGTAATATTCTACAAATTGAGTTTTGAAATTAAACATTTTTATGTTTGTGTTGCTGTCACTCTAGATCTGTTGCTAGGATCTCCAAAGGCAGTTCCACATTTTCCCGCGAAATAAACGCTGTTCTCTCTGCTACATTGCCAACATTTGTAAATGAAGAAAAAGAGCTGTATTATTTTATTTGTAATCGCATTGATAACTTTAGAGAATTTAAAAAGTTTAAAAATATAAGTATGTGTTTTACATTTCACGAGGCACGTTTGGTTTCGGCGCGCTATTTTCCCCCTAAGTACATATTTGGACAGTTGATACATACAGATGTACCGACCTTGAACACGTCTTTTGACGGATGCATATTTGACTTTTATCATGCATTTCTTCTGGTGCGCTATACTTACGTTGAGCATGTATTGTGACGGAGTTTATGTCGGTGGTAAATAAATCGCCGTCCATACGACGCTTGAGTAGTGATAATATGAAATGTTCCGAGTTTGACGTCACACTGATGGCCGGTGAGAATTTGAGGGTGAAGATCACAATGACACTTCCAGACCTGTCAAGAGTTTTCAAAATGTGAAAGATGTATATAGATAGTCAGGACACTGCGATATTCAAAGGCACATCAATTGGTTTTTTAAGGATGAGCTAGGTAGCACTTTATTTACAAGTGGGAAATTAATCGAATACAGTACATAAGATATCCATATACCATGAAATGCCACAATGCAAACTTTTGTTATACCTTCTCTCTCAAACAAAAGGACATAAATAGCTACATCAGCATTTCCCAACTCTTCTATTTCTGGTCCCAAGACGAAAATAGACATAAGAATATGGTTAACATTTAAAGCCATAAGTTTTCAAAATATCGTTTGTAATAAATGACATTAATGTTTTGCAATACGTCAAATTCAAATACATTGTTGTGAAAAGTCACGTTGAGATGAAAAAGCAAAAGTTAAAGAAGGTTTATTTTGGTAAGTCTGACACATTTGGTGGCATTCAGACTCACAGACGGACCCTGCTGACGGAGATGACAGGCGGAGGTCAGGCATACTTACATGATGGATTCTATCTCCGTATGACTATACTCTACACTGTATTTACTGCTTTGAAAAACTAATTTCATCTGAAATGAGGCAAACAAGACTTATTAAACACCAGGGATGGAAAGAATACCAGACATGACCACGTCTCAGGTGGCTAAATCTATTTATCTATCAACTATAAAAATGAGATTTTACTTTATTGCCTAAGATGAAGTTTTGACTCATATTACTAATGCTTTTTTATTGAGTAAATTAATTAAATAAGCAAACTAAATGCAGGCAGTGGACATATGAGGTATCTCCTTGCGTTTTTATTGTTTCATTAAGCAGTCCTGGTGGTTCCATGTCCAAGGATTTAACTAAACCTCTGCCTGAAGGTCAGTAAGCCGTATGTTTGATATGTTTAAGGTAATCTCAAAAACAACATAAAATAATGTTATTTCACTTATAACTAGTTTTACAACATCTAACGATAAATAAATAGGTTTTTAATCACTTTGGATATGAATTCTTTGAATTTGATTGCATACATTTCCCTTATATTCTTATAATAATTTAAACAAAAAGCATCTAAGTTTCTTGTACATTACATAGTATGGATATATGTACGGGCCTGTTAGTATGAGTATGCGTATATAACAAAAACTTATTTAGGGAAACACATGTACCTATAAACATACTGAATTATCTATGGTTACTACACATACAAAACATTGTAATAATGCGACATTGCTAAAACAAACTCAGTGGAGGCATAGTTTTGAAAGACATTTCTTGATGTATAATAAAAAGAACAGGTACTTTCTTAAAGCTTTTATAATTTACATCAAGGCAATCAATAGGAAACTGATGTCAGAGGAATACGGAACAAAAACTCTTTTACTTTTTTACACTAATCAGAAGGGTATTAACCATGAGTTTCCGATACATATTTTTTGCCAACTTGATGGGAACTTTATATGTTTCGGCATCATTTTTGGTTCAATATTAAGAACTTCATTCACTTTTTCAAACAACATTTTCACGTTTGACCTTCAAAATAATCTAGGGAGGCTACAAATGTAAAGGCAATGAATGTGAATCATCAGGCAGGGATAAAATGGCTCATTTATCTGTGTAGCTATCAGTGGTGTCCGGGACAATGGGCCCTCCGAGCACACTCCCTCCGCATAGCCGCTTTACATATAAATTAACAAGGGCCAGGTTTCTTGTACTGGGAACGATTTTGTTAAATCAATCAATACAACCCCGCCCACTTCAACTATCTATATGTTAATCTAGAATTCATACACACACGGTACTCAATTCTTGATTTAGCAATCTGTGACATTATTCATCTCTACAGTTTACACTTTAGTGTTTTTGAAAGACAACGGGTTTGTTTATGTAAAAAACGACATACTTTGAGAAGTAGATGGTCAATGCAGAAATCAGGATTATACTGAAATCACTTTCCTCGTGTCATACGACATATAGAGATTACATAACCATTGATGGCTGTTCATCATATTTATCGATTTTTAGATTGCAAAAACACGCAAGGTTTACCAATTGTTCTTTTGAAGTTCTAAGTTTAAATAATGTGAGATGCTATCTACCATAACCTCTTTAGCGTTGTTTTTCGTCCTTTTACGAAGACAGAATGGAAACGCTCCCTTTTGGCCTCTGGTGTCGACGTGGTTTTGGAAATGATGCGACGTGATCGTTGGCGTTCTATGGTGTCGGTGTGTTTTAAAATATAATGTCCCCACTTTGAATGCATATAATTTTCCAAAATACAATATGATTACCAACCCGGAAGTGCGTTGGAATGAGCATCCAATCAGAATATATTGATATATGAGCACAAACAATCATGATGTTATAATTGCTTTTTGTGACGTCAAGGATGATACCGGTTTCATCAACCAAAACAGGGATATTAGGTTCTGTTCAAGTTGAGCATGATGAAATAGTGGATGCTAATATTTGATGTTGTAAAATTTGATTATGCAAATAAAAACAAAAACTTTTTGTAGTCAACATGTTTTTAAAAAGAAGTACGAAATATGCAGATGTTAAACGATTATCCAGAAAGCAAATATTTCGAATAGTGTCGAACTTTGAACAGCATGGGGCTGTTGGTGATGAAAGAAATATCATGCCTGGGAAGACAAGAAGTGGGAGGGCAGATAATATGCATGAGGAAACTGCGATAGTGACATCTGCACGTTAATTCTCAATATTAGAAAAACAAGGTCGCCATATTTTAAAGAAGGACAGATATTGGTACATTTGTAATATATGGTATCCACACAAGACGAAGCAACCCCGCGCCGCAAAATAAGGGTTGGAATGGTGGTATTGTAGATTTTGGGAACACTTATATTCTGCTCTTCAGCAGTAAGTGCCCACCCCATTCACCTGATTTAAACCCTTTAGACTATCTTTGGTTGGATTACTTAAAGGAACGTGCTTATTTACCACCGCAAGATGATTACAATGCCTTGAACGTAGCAATAAGGAGGCAGAAAAATAGGATTTTGTAAAATTCTGCAAAAGATGTGACCAGGAATTTAAGAGACAGATTGAAACTTATGATAGAGAAAGCAATGGACATTTGGAGTAAATCTTAAAATGGCGCTACACAGGTAAATCATCAAAAGTTAATGATTTTAATGTGATTTTATGAATGAAATTTTTACCTTTTTTTTTACAAACCAATACTATGTATGCTCTCACCCTACACTATATGCCTTACTCCCATGTAACATTTGTAATTAAATTGATTCAGATGCAAAGTGGGGACATGCGTTTTAAAACACCCTGTATTTGAAGTTCACAAGGTTTAAATACTAAATCACAAATTCCAATGAAATTGCTTATTACGTAAGCTTTGCGTATTAATATTCACTGGGTACGTTTGTAACACGAGGACTGAGTTATTCATACAACAGGGTTTAGAAGATAGAAGCTTTTCTATTTTCAATACAAACAATTCGATGGATTCATTGCGAAATTGTAATACACTATAAGGAACACAAAAAAATCAAAATACATAGTACTTACTTTATATAAAAAGGCGTCAGAAAACAAGGTATACGCTTCTGATTCCATGTTACTATAATCATGTTTATATATAGAAAATGGCCCCTCGACAACCCGCAAGCGTCCTCTAAACGTCGTGGACAGGAAGAGCACTGGAAAGCAAGATAGAGTCCATTTGATGAACGATGAAACAAACATGTAAAATGTATTGAACAGATAAAACATTGGACTTACCAGTATACGATTTATTCTGTGAAGGTTTACTCGCATCTACTTAAAGGTTTTGTGCCGAGTTAATTGTAAGACACATATAATTTAATACAAAGGACATATTTCATATTGCTCTTCACTAATGTTAAAGTTTCTATGTAAGTCAAAATAGCATCCGGTTTATATATTATTATATTTCTGAACGAAACGCAAAGTTGCCACAACCTGATTACTGCAGGCTGCCTGATAACCATAACCCTAACCCTGATAAAGGTATCTTAGAAAATATTAATGCATAAAACTGTTGTGACTTATCAATCATGCATTCAAAAGAAATAAGATTTTTTTTAAAATTTTGATTAATACCAAAAATATCAAATATAAAAACTAAAAATCAAAATCAATCCATCTGAAAAAGAAAAATAATAGCCTTCCTTAAATAAACGTCATCCACCTGCGAACATATGGCGCACGTCCTGACATGTTGAATCCTTAATTTTGGTTAGCAGTGAAAGAAGATATTGCTATGTAATCTATGTAATTGATTTGATAATAGGGAACAGTTATCAAGAATGAAAAATAGAACAACATGGGATATAGAAAAAGGACGTCACAGGAAAGATTAGTTACAATTATTCTTAAAAATTCGTCACGGGTTAAAACTGTTGTTCCAAGTCAGGATAAGCAGCTGACAATGGTAGTATGTGGTGATTTTTATTTTTCAACTTCTGGGTGATACGTGAGACATATTGTTTTTGATATGCTTTATACTTACAGACAAAAAAGATCAACATTTTAAAATGTAACATGTAAGGATCTAGCATATATGACGTTTTCCATCTTCAAAGCCCATATACGAATCCAGGTCAATAAGAGCTGTACGACGCGTTCATCAGTAGTCCTAGATATCAAAGGAACGGGTTTAATTGTTTTTCCCCCAGTGTTAACAACATCACTCATACAAAGATCACACAAACATTATCGTAATCAGCTGTATATTTTTCTGGTAATTGCGTGAGGTTGACAAAGTAAATCTCATTTCTATTGAACCAAGGTATACCGCATCTGTATTTGGTAGTAATAGATAAAGTTTGATATACCTCATTTGAGACAAGATATTTTTAGCATGATAAATGGTATTAGACAACGGGCTTGAAGTCAAAGGTTTTACCGCAAATTTCTTAAGAAGATGATGGAGCTTTGGCTTTCCCAAAAAATGCCATATTTTAAAGTATTTGTATTGTTAATTTATTGGGGTTTTTTAAGCATGAATTATGGTGTGTGTTGAAAGAATCAAATAAGAAATACTTAAATTTAAAAGTCGATTAAAATATCTCAAATAGGTATTTTATTGATACCGAGTATATCTATATCCACAGGCTAAGAGAGCTTCTGTTGTCGTGTACCGACATCGGACTGGTTAGCTAAATACCGCGGACATATAGCTAATGTTTCGATGTCATTCAATAAAGAAGAAATGTAATCTACTTAACCTAAATGTGTTTTGAGTTAAATGTTTAAATTCATATAGATGTTGTAGAATATTATATTTTGTATAAAAAGAACGTCAAACGTTACAAATAAATGGTAATGTCTTTAAAGCATGATAATACCGTCCAACATCAGAGCTTCCTAATAACCTAATAATGCTGTCGGGAGTGAAACTACATTTGTACTTGGAGAATCTCTTGGTCGATTATGGGGAATGAACGGCCAGAAACACCTTAAAGACACACCATACAGTGCGTTAACTCATTTAAAAGGACATTTATGAGTTCCTGGCAGTTAATTCATCATAATTCTGAAATACGTGTATCGATTTGTTCTCATCGCAAGATTCGGTTACTTTCTCTAGCAATTCCCTACAAGTGCTATTCCAACTGATATACTATCAGTGTCTTGATGTTTATCACACGGCCGTTTCATTATTCAATATAATTGCCTTGTTTTTATTCCCGTATTACAATGTGTCATACTTAAGATAGAGACCCTATAGACCTTGCTTGAGTCAATTAATATTCTATATGTTTATCAAAATTTGTTTAGGACTTTTGCCACCTGTAACGTTAGTTGTTTTCTGAACAGGAAGACCTGCAAGTGATTAACGATAATTTCCTCTCCCCGGTTTGGGACCAGTATAGTTGTACTTGACTAGTGTTCGTCCTGTGTTTTCAGTATTGTGTTAAGTCACCAGAAGGGTTCCTTAGTCACATTGGACCTTTAAGTTATAAGAAGTACGTACAGCTTCTGTTCCTTATCTTCACTGTTCTGTTAAGAAATGAGAAGGGACGTACTGTTCCTTATCCTCACTGTTCTGTTTAGTAATGAGGAGGACAGCTACTGTTCCTTATCCCCACTGTTCTGTTTAGTAATGAGGAGGACAGCTTCTGTTCCTTTTCCTCACTGTTCTGTTTGGTAATGAGAAGGACAGCTTCTATTCATTATCCTCACTGTTCTGTTTGGTAATGAGAAGGCCAGCTTCTGTTCCTTATCCTCACTGTTCTGTTTGGTAATGAGAAGGACAGCTTCTATTCATTATCCTCACTGTTCTGTTTGGTAATGAGGAGAATATCTTCTGTTCCTTATCCTCACTGTTCTGTTTAGTAATGAGGAGGACAGCTTCTATTCATTATCCTCACTGTTCTGTTTGGTAATGAGAAGGACAGTTTCTATTCACTATCCTCACTGTTCTGTTTGGTAATGAGGAGGACAGCTTCTATTCATTATACTCACTGTCCTGTTCAGTAATGAGGAGGACAGCTTCTATTCATTATCCTCACTGTTCTGTTTGGTAATGAGGAGGGCAGCTTCTGTTCCTTTTCCTCACTGTTCTGTTTGGTAATGAGAAGAACAGCTTCTATTCATTATCCTCACTGTTCTGTTTGGTAATGAGGAGGGCAGCTTCTGTTCCTTTTCCTCACTGTTCTGTTTGGTAATGAGAAGGACAGCTTCTATTCATTATCCTGGATAATGAATAGAATCTGTCCTTCTCATTACTAAACAGGACAGTGAGGATAAGGAACAAAAGCTGTCCTCCTCAGTACTTAACAGAACAGTGAGGGTAATGAATAGAAGCTGCCCTCCTCATCACCAAACAGAACAGTGATGAAAAGGAACAGAAGCTGCCCTCCTCATCACCAAACAGAACAGTGGGGTTAAGGAATAGAAGCTGTCCTGCTCATTACCAGACAGAACAGTGAGGATAACGAATAGAAGCTGTCCGCCGCATTACCAAACAGAACCGTGAGGATAATGAATAAAAGCTGTCCTCCTCACTGTTCTGTTAAGTACTGAGGAGGACAGCTTTTATTCATTATCCTCACGGTTCTGTTTGGTAATGAGAAGGGCAGCTTCTATTCATTAGCCTCACTGTTCTGTTTGGTAATGAGAAGGACAGCTTCTATTCATCATCCTCACTGTTCTGTTTGGTAATAAGGAGAATATCTTCTGTTCCTTATCCTCACTGTTCTGTTTGGTAATGAGGAGGACAGCTTCTGTTCCTTATCCTCACTGTTCTGTTTAGTAATGAGGAGGACAGCTTCTCTTACTTATCCTCACTGTCCTGTTTAGTTATGAGGAGGACAGCTTCTATTCCTTATCCTCACTGTTCTGTTTGGTAATGAGGATGACAGCTTCTATTCATTATCCTCACTGTTCTGTTTGGCAATGAGAAGGACAGCTTCTATTCATTATCCTCACTGTTCTGTTTGGCAATGAGAAGGACAGCTTCTATTCATTATCCTCACTGTTCTGTTTAATAATGAGGAGGACAGCTTCTGTTCCTTATCCTCACTGTTCTGTTTAGTAATGAGGAGGACAGCTTCTGTTCCTTATCCTCACTGTTCTGTTTAGTAATGAGGAGGACAGCTTCTGTTCCTTATCCTCACTGTTCTGTTTAGTAATGAGGAGGACAGCTTCTGTTCCTTATCCTCACTGTTCTGTTTAGTAATGAGGAGGACAGCTTCTGTTCCTTATCCTCACTGTTCTGTTTAGTAATGAGGAGGACAGCTTCTGTTCCTTATCCTCACTGTTCTGTTTAGTAATGAGGAGGACAGCTTCTGTTCCTTATCCTCACTGTTCTGTTTAGTAATGAGGAGGACAGCTTCTGTTCCTTATCCTCACTGTTCTGTTTAGTAATGAGGAGGACAGCTTCTGTTCCTTATCCTCACTGTTCTGTTTAGTAATGAGGAGGACAGCTTCTGTTCCTTATCCTCACTGTTCTGTTTAGTAATGAGGAGGACAGCTTCTGTTCCTTATCCTCACTGTTCTGTTTAGTAATGAGGAGGACAGCTTCTGTTCCTTATCCTCACTGTTCTGTTTAGTAATGAGGAGGACAGCTTCTGTTCCTTATCCTCACTGTTCTGTTTAGTAATGAGGAGGACAGCTTCTGTTCCTTATCCTCACTGTTCTGTTTAGTAATGAGGAGGACAGCTTCTGTTCCTTATCCTCACTGTTCTGTTTAGTAATGAGGAGGACAGCTTCTGTTCCTTATCCTCACTGTTCTGTTTAGTAATGAGGAGGACAGCTTCTGTTCCTTATCCTCACTGTTCTGTTTAGTAATGAGGAGGACAGCTTCTGTTCCTTATCCTCACTGTTCTGTTTAGTAATGAGGAGGACAGCTTCTGTTCCTTATCCTCACTGTTCTGTTTAGTAATGAGGAGGACAGCTTCTATTCCTTATCCTCACTGTTCTGTTTAGTAATGAGGAGGACAGCTTCTGTTCCTTATCCTCACTGTTCTGTTTAGTAATGAGGAGGACAGCTTCTGTTCCTTATCCTCACTGTTCTGTTTAGTAATGAGGAGGACAGCTTCTGTTCCTTATCCTCACTGTTCTGTTTAGTAATGAGGAGGACAGCTTCTGTTCCTTATCCTCACTGTTCTGTTTAGTAATGAGGAGGACAGCTTCTGTTCCTTATCCTCACTGTTCTGTTTAGTAATGAGGA